ATAATATTTTATTTTTATTATATATTTTTTTTAAATTTTTTTTTTTTTTAATATTTAATATTTTTAATTAATTTTATTAAATAATATAAATAATATTTTTTATTTTTTTATATTAAATTTAATTAATAATAATAAATTATATTATTTATTTATTTTTTTTATTTTAATTTTAATATAATTAATTTTTAATATTTTTTTTTATTAATAAAAAATTTTTTAATTTAAATTTTATATTTAATTTTTATTTTATTTTTAAATATTAAATTTATATAATAATTTTTTAATATTTTTTTAAATATTTAATAATTAATTAATTATATTTTTTAAAATATTTATTTATTAATTTTAATTTTATTATTAAATTATAAATAATTTTAATAAATAATAATTTTAATATTATATATATTATTTATATTATTAAATATAAATTAAAAATATATTTATAAAATTTATTTTAAATTATATTTATTATTATTTTTTTTTTAATATTAATTTTTTTTATTAATATAATTTATTTTTTTAATTATTAATTTTTTTTTTTTTATATTATAATTTTTTATTAAAAATTTTATAATATATTTTAATTATTATTTTTTTTTTTTTTTTTATTTTTTATTAATTTTAATTTTTTAATATTTTTTAATTTTTAAATTATTTATTAAATAATTATATTATTTTTTATATTTTTTAAATAATAATTTTTTATATTTTTTTTAATAAATTTAATAATTATATTATTATATTTTATATTATTATATTTTTATTATATTTTATTTTTTATTATTTTTAATTTTTTTTATTATTTTTTTTTAATAAATATTTATTTTTTTATTATATTTATTTTTATTTATTTATTTTATTTATTAAATTTTTTTATATATTTAATTATTTTATATAATATTAAAATATAATTATTTTTTTAATTTTTTATAATTTTATTTATTATTTATTATTTATATATTATTTTTTTTTTTTTTTATTTATTAATATAATAATATTTTTTTTATTATTATTTTCATTTTATTATTATTAATTTTAAGAATATAAAATTAATAATATATATTATTTATTAATTTTTTTTTATTATTATAATTTTTAATACCAATATTAAAAAATAATAATTATATAATAATATATTTTTTAATAATAATAAAATTAAATCATAATAAAAATATTTTATTTACTAATGTTAACTATTATTATTTTTTTTATTAGTATTATATTTAATTATAATTAATTTTATTATTATTAGTAATAGTAATAAAGTTAATAATAATATTGGTAACAATTTTAACATTATTTTGAATATTATTACTAATAAATAATATATATGCAGAGAATGAAGTACAGATGGAATGAAAGCTGTAAACCTGGAAGAGAAGAATCCTCGTCCTCTCCGGGTTCAGTCATTGCAGGGGGTGGGGGTGGGGAGGGGTGGGGCAGACGAGGGCCCCGCACTGATGACAGTCACTAAGGATGTATTGATCCGTTCCAGGACTCCCGGGGAGGAAAGCGCAGCTTCCTGCATTGGGGTCACAGAGGAGAATTGTCCCGGTGAAAGGAGAAGGCCTTCCTGTCAAGAAACAAGTAAAACCTCCGGTGTCAGCGACACAAGTCCCACCCACTAAAGACTCCGCCTCCAGAGGGGCCACCAAACCGAATATTCCGACATCTCGGACTCAGCCGATGAGGACAGAACCTTCCGGAGAAAGTTCCCACCATCCCCCCCCTGTGTCTGTATTTATGGGTCAGTGTTCTGTACAGATATATATGATGTATACCAGGGGCCTTCAAACTGCGGCCCAGGGGCCACACGGGGCCCTCTGCTTTTATACAGTATGTGGGGGCACTATCCCCTCCACTGATCCCAACAGGACATAATTCCCCACTGACACCAATGATGGGGCACTATCCCCCCTCCCCCACTGACACCAATGATGGGGCACTATTCCCCCTCCCCCACTGACACCAATGATGGGGGGCACTATCACCCCCCCCCCACTGACACCAATGATGGGGCACTATCCCCCCCTCCCCCACTGACACCAATGATGGGGCACTATCCCCCCTCCCCCACTGACACCAATGATGGGGCACTATCCCCCCTCCCCCACTGACACCAATGATGGGGCACTATCCCTCCTCCCCCACTGAACACCAATGATGGGGCACTATCCCCCCTCCCCCACTGACACCAATGATGGGGCACTATCCCCCCCTCCCCCACTGACACCAATGATGGGGCACTATTCCTCCCCACTGACACCAATGATGGGGGGCACTATCCCCCCTCCCCCACTGACACCAATGATGGGACACTATTCCTCCCACTGACACCAATGATGGGGCACTATTCCTCCCACTGACACCAATGATGGGGCACTATTCCTCCCACTGACACCAATGATGGGGCACTATTCCTCCCCTGACACCAATGATGGGACACTATTCCTCCCACTGACACCAATGATGGGGGGCACTATTCCCCCCACTGACACCAATGATGGGGCACTATTCCCCCACTGACACCAATGATGGGGCACTATTCCTCCCACTGACACCAATGATGGGGCGCTATTCCTCCCACTGATACCAATGATGGGGCGCTATTCCTCCCACTGATACCAATGATGGGGCGCTATTCCCCCCACTGACACCAATGATGGGGCACTATTCCTCCCACTGACACCAATGATGGGGCACTATTCCTCCCACTGACACCAATGATGGGGCACTATTCCTCCCACTGACACCACAATGATGGGGCACTATTCCTCCCACTGATACCAATGATGGGGCACTATTCCTCCCACTGATACCAATGATGGGGTATTATTCCTCCCACTGACACCAATGATGAGGGCACTATTCCCACTGACACCAATGATGGGGCACTATTCCTCCCACTGACACCAATGATGGGACACTATTCCTCCCACTGACACCAATGATGGGGCACTATTCCTCCCACTGACACCAATGATGGGGCACTATTCCTCCCACTGACACCAAAAGTCTGAAAGGTCCGTAAACTGGCCCTTTTGTTTAGAACATTTGGGGGCCCCGGATCTGCACCGTCACAATGTAACAATACATCTCACTGACAATCCAATAGAAGATGGCGGGAAATCTCCTTCCATGCTGGGAGTGCTGCCTGTCTGCTGGGCATCTCTTTCCACCACTTCCTGGATTCCCAGCATGCTTTGCAGCTCCTCCTCCATGTCTAAGGACTACATGTCCCATGGTACCTTGCTGATTTCCTGTACTGATTCCGCCTCCTGAAGCTCCTCCTCTCAGAAGGCGGGCTCTGTGAAATGTGTGACACAGCAGTTCCTGCTCCCTGACCCCAGACACGCCTCCAGCATTTCCCATCCCTGGAACTGATGTTTGTTTTTCCTCCCCCAGATACGGCGGAAGCTGCGAGTTGCTGCAATCTGCAGGTGAGTGTCGGTGAGACGTGGGGTCAGTTGTATTATAACCCCGGGGTGGGGGGAGGGGAGAACAATTATAAGGATCTGCCCCGCCCCCAATATCACCAAATCCCACCAAAATGCCTAATCTGGCTCCTCCCCTTCAGTCTTGCCCAGGCGGGCCGGCTCCTCCCCCTTCAGTCTTGCCCAGGCGGGCCGGCTCCTCCCCCTTCAGTCTTGCCCAGGCGTGGCGGCTCCTCCCCCTTCAGTCTAGCCCAGGCGTGGCAGCTCCTCCCCCTTCAGTCTAGCCCAGGCGTGGCGGCTCCTCCCCTTTCAGTCTAGCCCAGGCGTGGCGGCTCCTCCCCCTTCAGTCTAGCCCAGGCGTGGCGGCTCCTCCCCCTTCTTTCTTGCCCAGGCGTGCTGGCTCCTCCCCCTTCAGTCTAGCCCAGGCTGGCGGCTCCTCCCCCTTCTTCAGTCTAGCCCAGGCACGTGGCAGCTCCTCCCCCTTCAGTCTTGTAGCCCAGGCGCACCGGCTCCTCCCCCTTCTTTCTTGTCCAGGCGTGGCGGCTCCTCCCCCCTTCTTTCTTGTCCAGGCGCGCCGGCTCCTCCCCCTTCAGTCTTGCCCAGGCGCACCGGCTCCTCCCCCTTCAGTCTTGCCCAGGCGAGCCAGCTCCTCCCCTTCAGTCTTGCCCAGGCTGTGCTGGCTCCTCCCCTTCAGTCTTGCCCAGGCTTGCCGGCTCCTCCCCCTTCTCTAGCCCAGGCGCGCCAGCTCCTCCCCCTTCAGTCTTGCCCAGGCGCGCCAGCTCCTCCCCCTTCTTTCTTGTCCAGGCGCGCCAGCTCCTCCCCCTTCTTTCTTGTCCTGGCGTGCCAGCTCCTCCCCCTTCTTTGTGTCCAGGCGCGCCAGCTCCTCCCCCTTCAGTCTTGTCCAGGCGCACCGGCTCCTGATGAGGAGGGTCTTTATTGTCAAGACTGAAGGGGAGGAGCCGGCGCACCTGGGCAAGTCTGAAGGGGAGGATCGGGCCCCTGGGCAGTCTGAAGGGGAGGATCGGGCGCAGCTGGGCAAGGCTGAAGGGGAGGAGCCGGCGCACTGGGCGAAGCTGAAGGGGAGGAGCCGGCGCACCTGGGCAAGGTTGAAGGGGAGGGGCCGGCACACCTGAGCAAGGTTGAAGGGGAGGGGCCGGCTCACCTGGGCAAGGTTGAAGGGGAGGGGCCGGCACACCTGGGCAAGGTTGAAGGGGAGGGGCCGGCACACCTGGGCAAGGGTTGAAGGGGAGGGGCCGGCACACCTGGGCAGGGCTGAAGGGGTTTGGAGGGGGATATAAGAGTGAAGGGAAGGCTGGATGGGGGGATTTAACTACAGCAAAGAATACTCGGGTCTCCTCTGTCAGTCAGGACTGTGCTGTGTGGCAGAGCTGTGTAAATCTCAGGACTGGATGGGCAGCAATACAATCCTATGGCAGCTAAAGCAGCTCTGCTGTCTGTATTTCCTGTGGATTTAGTGATTTGCCCGGAATTTCAGATTTCATCTTTTCTGTGCAGAGAACTGAAGATGGGAAATGTGTGATGGTAACATTCATATGTCTCTCTTCACCCCACCCCCACCCCCCCCCCCCCCCCCTCCCCCCCCCCCCCCCAGACCTGCAGCTGCTGCCACAGATGTTACCAGAAGTACCAGAACCTTCTTCAGGAGATGGAAGACCTCCGGAGGAAACTCGCTGAGAAGAGCTGAATGTCTACAAAGGTCATGGGGGCTCCATGTAGCCACAGTCATTGTTAGAGGGTCTGAGGGGGGGGGGGCTTGGATTAGAGAGGCCAGAGAGGGGCGTTCTGGAGGCGGGAGTCCTCTTGGGGCCAAAGGGTACTTTTTGGGGTAGAGGGATCGGCTTGGTCTTTTCTCTGGGGGTTAGAAGGGCCAGAGGATCCTTTTTTGTGGTGGTAGAGGATCCCTTTTTTTTTTTTTTTTTTTTTTTTTTTTTTTTGGTGTAGAGGGATCGGGTTTGTCTTTTCTGGGGGGTAGAGGGCCCAGAGGAGCCTTTTTTGGGGTAGAGGGATCGCGTTGTTTTTTTTGTGAGGGTAGAGTGATTGGGTTGGTCTTTTGCGGGGGTAGAGGGGCCAAGAGGAGCCTTTTTTTGGGGGTAGAGGGATCGGGTTGGTCTTTTGTGGGGGTAGAGGGGCCAAGAGGAGCCTTTTTTTGGGGTAGAGGGATCGGGTTGGTCTTTTGTGGGGGTAGTTTAGAGGGCCCAGAGGAGCCTTTTTTTTGGGGTAGAGGGATCGGGTTGTTTTTTTTGTGAGGGTAGAGGGGATCGGGTTGGCCTTTTGTGGGGGTAGAGGGGCCAAGAGGAGCCTTTTTTTTTTTGGGGTAGAGGGAATCGGGTTGGTCTTTTGTGGGGGTAGAGGGGCCAAGAGAAGCGTTTTTTTTTTTTTGGAGGGTAGAGGGATCGGGTTGGTCTTTTGTGGGGGTTAGAGGGGCCAAGAGGAGCCTTTTTTTGGGGTAGAGGGATCAGGTTGTTCTTTTGTGGGCGTAGAGGGGCCAGAGGAGCCTTTTTTTGGGGTAGAGGGATCGGGTTGGTCTTTTGTGGGGGTAGAGGGGCCAGAGGTGCCTTTTTTGGGGGTACAGTGATCTGGTTGGTCTTTTGTGGGGGTAGAGGGGCCAAGAGGAGCCTTTTTTGGGGGTAGAGGGATCGGGTTGGTCTTTTCTGGGGGTAGAGGGCCCAGAGGAGCCTTTTTTGGGGTAGAGGGATCAGGTTGTTCTTTTGTGGGGGTAGAGGGGCCAGAATGGCCTTTTTTTGGGGGTAGAGTGATTGGGTTGGTCTTTTGCGGGGGTAGAGGGGCCAAGAGGAGCCTTTTTTTGGGGGTAGAGGGATCGGGTTGGTCTTTTGTGGGGGTAGAGGGGCCAAGAGGAGCCTTTTTTTGGGGTAGAGGGATCGGGTTGGTCTTTTGTGGGGGTAGAGGGCCCAGAGGAGCCTTTTTTTGGGGTAGAGGGGATCGCGTTGTTTATTTTGTGAGGGTAGAGGGGATCGGGTTGGCCTTTTGTGGGGGCATAGGGGCCCAAAGGAGCCTTTTTCGGGGGGTAGAGGGATCAGGTTGTTCTTTTGTGGGGGGTAGAGGGGCGAAGAGGAGCCTTTTTTGGGGGTAGAGGGATCGGGTTGGTCTTTTGTGGGGGTAGAGGGGCCAAGAGGAGCGTTTTTTTTGGAGGGTAGAGGGATCAGGTTGGTCTTTTGTGGGGGTATAGGGGCCAAGAGGAGCCTTTTGGGGGTAGAGGGATCGGGTTGGTCTTTTGTGGGGGTAGAGGGGCCAGAGGAGCCTTTTGGGGGTAGAGGGATCGGGTTGGTCTTTTGTGGGGGTATAGGGGCCAAGAGGAGCCTTTTGGGGGGGTAGAGGGATCGGGTTGGTCTTTTGTGGGGGTAGAGGGGCCAAGAGGAGCCTTTTTTGGGGGTAGAGGGATCGGGTTGGTCTTTTGTGGGGGTAGAGGGGCCAGAGGAGCCTTTTTTTTTGAGGTAGAGGGATCGGGTTGGTCTGTTGTGGGGGTTTGTAGAGGGCCCAGAGGAGCCTTTTTTGGGGGTACAGTGATCGGGTTGGTCTTTTGTGGTGGTAGAGGATCCTTTTTTTTTTTTTTTTTTTTTTTTGTTTGGTGTAGAGGGATTGGGTTGGTCTTTTCTGGGGGTAGAGGGGCCCAGAGGAGCCTTTTTTGGGGTAGAGGGATCACATTGTTTTTTTTTGTGAGGGTAGAGGGGATCGGGTTGGCCTTTTGTGGGGCACAGGGGCCCAAAGGAGCCTTTTTTGGGGTAGAGGGATCAGGTTGTTCTTTTGTGGGGGTAGAGGGGCCAGAGGTGCCTTTTTTGGGGGTAGAGTGATCGGGTTGGTCTTTTGTGGGGGTAGAGGGGCCAAGAGGAGCCTTTTTTGGGGTAGAGGGATCGGGTTGGTCTTTTGTGGGGGGTAGAGGGGCCAAGAGGAGCCTTTTTTTGGGGTAGAGGGATCGGGTTGGTCTTTTGTGGGGGTAGAGGGCCCAGAGGAGCCTTTTTTTTGGGGGGTAGAGGGATCGCGTTGTTTTTTTGTGAGGGTAGAGAAGATCGGGTTGGCCTTTTGTGGGGGTAGAGGGGCCAAGAGGAGCCTTTTTTGGGGGTAGAGGGAATCGGGTTGGTCTTTTGGTGGGGGTAGAGGGGCCAAGAGGAGCCTTTTTTTGGGGGTAGAGGGATCGGGTTGGTCTTTTGTGGGGGTAGAGGGGCCAAGAGGAGCGTTTTTTTTGGAGGGTAGAGGGATTCGGGTTGGTCTTTTGTGTAGGTAGAGGGGCCAGAGGAGCCTTTTGGGGGTAGAGGGATCGGGTTGGTCTTTTGTGGGGGTAGAGGGGCCAAGAGGAGCCTTTTTTGGGGGTAGAGGGATCGGGTTGTTCTTTTGTGGGGGTAGAGGGGCCTAAGAGGGAGCCTTTTTTGGGGGTACAGTGATCGGGTTGGTCTTTTGTGGTGGTAGAGGATCCGTTTTTTTTTTTTTTTTTTTTTTTTTTTTTTTTTTTTTTTTTGGTTTGTAGAGGGATTGGGTTGGTCCTTTTCTGGGGGGTAGAGGGGCCCAGAGGAGCCTTTTTTGGGGTAGAGGGATCGGGTTTGGTCTTTTGTGGGGGTAGAGAGACAAGAGGAGCCTTTTGGGGTGGGGGGATCAGGTTGTTCTTTTGTGGGGGTAGAGGGCCCAGAGGAGCCTTTTTTGGGGTAGAGGGATCGGGTTGGTCTTCTGTGGGGGTAGAGGAGCCTTGTGGGGGGTAGAAGGACAGCCTTTTCAACAAATGTAAAATGTAAAAATTAAATTGCTGTTTTTGAAATGTAAAAGCTTTGATATTGATCATCTATTGATAAATGTCACATGATTGCCCCTTCAGGCGCAGTGCACCATGGGAATGACGGCTGACCACACTGTATGAAGGATCTGGCGGGAGAGCCGGCACTGAAGGGAATGCTTCAGGAATACAATGGAAGCTGCTGCGCTCTCTGCACTGCGGGGAATGTTCTAGAAGTATCACATGTACATTCTATATTGTCTGTATATCTTCTGTATACAAATGTTACGTCTTATTATTATTTTTATGTAATTTATAAATAAAGTGTTTGCGGAATGTATACATATCCATTGTAACTATATGATTGCTTTACCTCTTCTGTCCCTTCTCCCCTGAGCTGATGGGGGAGGGGCCTATGTCGGAGGGAAGTGATGTCATTTTTTCCCCCCCTTTTACAAGAAGTAGCCTGCAGCAACTGCTTTCATTTTTCCCCCCATCATCTTGGGTGTGTATTAGGGAGGTTACACCTCCACACTATTCCTCCTCCTTTCTATACGACCCTAATACTGGGGCTGAGCAGCCATTGGGCCAGTGCTTCGGATATTTCATTAGAGGGTCCCCCACTAATCCCCCTGTCACAGGGGGGGACAACACTGTTCAGTCTGCAGTGAAATTGCAAAGCGACGTTGTCACCCTGTGAACAGGGGGGAGTCTTGGATGGACCTGTAGTTTCAAATGGAATTTTTGTAGGTAGAGTTGGAGTTTGGCCTTCATTTGTTGGACACTTAACTACTTCAGTACCGGCCTATTACACCCAACCCCCACACTATCCACTGTACAAATCTATAATCGAAGGTTCTGAGCGCATTTTACTTCATGCCTTAAAGCCTAACCCTACGTGTAATGTCCCTTGAAATTGTCCAGTCGGGCCAAGCTGGCCATACAAACTATTGTACAACAGATGCACTTGCTGGGTGTGCTGTATACAGTGTATGTAGCCTCAGATACAGTATACACGGCTGTTTTCCCTGCAGCGGGACGGGGACTTCCCATCCTTCTCCCAGAACTAGAGTTGGTCTGTGCACAGGTGATATAAAGATCAAACATTCTGAGCGCATTTTACCACATGCCTTAAAGCCTAACCCTATGTATAATGTCCCATGAAATTGTCCAATCAGGCCAAGCTGGCCCATACAAACTATTCAACAGATGCACTTCCTGGGTGTGCTGTATACAGTGTATGTAGCCTCAGATACAGTATACAGGTATGTTTTCCTGCAGCGGGAACGGGGACTTTCCCATCCTCCCGGAACTAGAGTTGGGCTGAGCACAGGTGATATAAAAAATCTATAATCAAACATTCTGAGCGCATTTTACCACATGCCTTAAAGCCTAACCCTATGTATAATACACAGCTGTTTTCCTGCAACAGGGACTTCCTATCATTCTCGCAGAACTAGAGTTGGGTCTGTGTACAGGTGATATAAAAATCTGTGATCGAAGGTTCTGAGCGCATTTTACTTCATGCCTTAAAGCCTATCCCTACGTGTAATGTCCCATGAAATTGTCCAGTCGGGGCCAAGCTGGCCATTCAAACTATTGTACAACAGATGCACTTGCTGGGTGTGCTGTATACAGTGTATGTAGCCTCAGATACAGTATACACGGCTGTTTTCCTGAAGCGGGACGGGGACTTCCCTCCATCCTTCTCCCGGAACTAGAGTTTGGGCTGAGCACAGGTGATATAAAAATCTATAATCAAACATTCTGAGCGCATTTTACCACATGCCTTTAAGCCTAACCCTACGTGTAATACACAGCTGTTTTCCTGCAACAGGGACTTCCTATCATTCTCGCAGAATTAGAGTTGGGTCTGTGTACAGGTGATATAAA